TCAGCTGCTGCCCCTTGTATATGACTGGAGTTAGTGTAGGAGTCCTCAGCCACAGCAACCTCTGTCCATGTGGCTTCTCCCTGAGCCTGCGCCCCCTGAAACCTGCCTCCTTTAGCTTCAGCCATTTGAACACAGGCTTAGAGAACTCGCCAGTGAGCCCAAGCCACACTCAGCACAGGGTCCTATAGACCCAGGATACCGGACATGGGCAGCTGCTCCTCCAGGCCAGCACTGACCACAGGCCATGTTCAAGCCTGAGGGCCTTGGGCACACACACGTCATGGGGATGTGGCCACAGGCAGGGGGCACTTGGTAGGCTGGCACAGCTGGCACTCACACTCACTGAGGTCCAGGCCCCATGTCTGGGTCCTGCCCGGGCTCAGGAACAGCAGGGAGACCGAGAAGATGCTTTTGTATCACGTCTGAGGTCTTTGCCTGATCCTAGTTCCGAGTCGTATATTTTATACTCAAGCTCATGACACCTTTTGAGTTACATATTGTATTATGTGTGAGGGATAGTTTTAAACAGATTTTACTGTGGTTGTCCAGCTGCTTCAGCACCATTTGCAGAAGGGCTTGTCACCCTGCATAAAGCTGCTTTCACACTTCCCACCAGGCATTTTCATGTGGCCTCTCTTGAGCTCCTCTGACCTGTCCCACTTGTCTGTCTGTCCTATGCTGCTGTTCACATCTGTCCTCCACAAGCAACTATGCTGTGCTGTACAGTAACCACAATGCACCTTCACACTGGGAAGGCAGCTCCCTTCCTCCTGTTTTGGAATTGCCTGGCTGCCCTAGGACTCTTCTCCTCCCATATAAATTTTAGCGTAGCCATTTTGATGGCTATGAAAAAAAAAACCTTGCCGAGATTTTTAGGAGTTACAGCAAACCTATAGATCAGTCTTGGAAAAATGTGTATAGTTTCCAGGTCAAGCTTTCCAATCCATGAACATTGTATGTCTTTATTTAAATATTTTTTCCCATTGGCATTTTATAACTTTTGACATAGACATTTTTAAACTTTTGTAAATAGTACTTCTCTTATTTTATTTTTCACTTCTTTACTATTACTTTATAGAAATATGATTTTTAGGGTATGTGTATTAATCTTGTTTCCTGCAACCTTACTTACTGATTGCAATTTTTCTATAGGATTCTTTACCCTGGGGGTCATGTCATTTGCAAGGAGAGCAGTATTAGTTCTTTTTTCCCAGTGCTTCATATTTCTCTTTCTTGCTTTATGTCCTAGCTAAGACCTCAGTACCATGTGGAGTGTGACTGGCAAAGACAGGTCCTCTCCTGACTCCTGTCTCAGGGAGCCAGCCACCTGTTGCCATGGAGTCTGCTGTCTGCTCCAGGTTACCTGTGAGTGCTTTGAGGCAATTGAGGAAATCTTATTTGTTCCTACTTTGCTGAATTTTTCTTGTGAGTAGTCATTGAATTTTGTCAAATGCATTTTCCATGTTAACTGATGAGATTTCCGTGTTAGCATGTTGATGTGTTACTTACATTGATCTTCAAATACTGAAGTGGCCTTGAATACCAGAAATAAATCCCATGTGGTCATGGCATGGCATTTTTTTCTATATCGTTGCCAGTTTGATTTGCTAATACTTGTTGTATATTTTTGCATTTAAGTTGATGATATATACCAGTCTGCATTTGTGATTATGTGTGTGTGTGTGTGTGTGTGTATGTGTGTGTTGGTTTGGGCACCCAGTTAGTGACCGCATATCTCTCTTATTTTCTCAGAGAGATTTATTAAAGTGGCATTATTTCTTAGTTAAATGTTCAGTAAAATTCTCTGGTTAAACTATCTAGGACAGGAGATGTCTTTTGGGGGAGTTTTTTAATTATACATTAATTTCATTGTTGTGGGACTGTTCGGGTCATCTGTTCCATCCTAGCTGTCTGGTGGTTTGCAGTTTGGGGGCACTGGCTCCCTCTGGACTGTCAGATTCGTGTGCACGTAGGATTTTCATAGGATTTCCTCTGTGTTCCTCTAGTAACTTCAGGGTCTGCTGTGCTCCTCCCTGTTTTGTTTCTAGAATTGAACATCTCTGTCTCTCTGTCTCTGTCTCTGTCTCTGTCTCTGTCTCTCTCTCTCTCTCTCTGTCTTGCTAGAGCTTTATCTATTTTTATTCCTGTTTTTCAAAGGATCTGCATTTGGTTTCAGTAATACTTTCATTTTTAATCTTGTTTATTCCTGCTTTTCTCTTCACCACTCCCTCCTTTCTGTGTGCCTGGGTTGGTTTTGCTTTTTGCCTTTCCTCTGAGCAGGAACTGAGCTCTTTCCCATCAGCACTTAGGTCCATCCATCACCTCCCTTGGAAGCACTGCCTGAGGTGCACCGACAAGTTTCATGATGTTGCATCTTAATTTTCATTCAATTCTCTGTATGTCTTATTTCCCTTGAGACGCCCTCCTTGGCCCTCGGACTGTTCAGAAGTGAGCTGTTTAATTTCCCTGGGCTTGAAGGATGTATTGTTTTCCTGCCATCTTTTTCTTACGACTCCTGGTGCCCACGTCCTCTTGTCACGGTGTCTTCTGTTGTGAGCACTGTGCTTCCAGACCCTGCTCCGGGGCTTCTCACTGCTCAGCCGTGCAGTCGGCCACTTCCTCAACAAGCGCTGGGGACACTCGTGCTAACCTAACCACAGACCTCCCACAGCTAAGCAGTATTAAAATAGCTCATGGGACTCTGAAGTAGTAGGATTTGCACTTCCTGAATGTTTTCCACTTTACTGTATTTCAGTTTGGTTATTTGAGCCAGGATTCAGGGTTGCGAATGCTGCAGTGGGCTGACTCTGTGGGCCGTTCCTCACTGCATTTCTCATCTGTGGAAGCTTCACTGATGCCCTCCAGGAAGAGATCTTGCTCCTGATGGGCACCCGTTGCCTCCTCTGTGCCACATTACAAGTGTAGTTAGCGGGGACAGAAGAAGCATGGAGCGAGCGCCTGGCTGTGCCCCCTAAGGTCTCTGTTAGCTCTGGATATTTTCCTGCTCAATACCCAAGTTGCCAAAGGAGCTTTACAAAGCTCCTGCTGTATGCACCAGGGAAGGGGGCACTGCCAGGCCTTGGGGATGGGGTGAACGCCTGAACCACAGGTGCCCTTGTGCACCGCAGAGTGCTTGTCTGCTGTTTGCTGTTAGTGAAGGCCCTGCCTGGAGCTGGCCTTCCTGCCTGGGAGGGAGGCCTTGGGGCACACCAGGCTCCGCTGTCAGTGGAGGTGGAGGCCCACGGCCAGGCCAAGCGTGGTGACCGCCACCCACCAGGCAGCTGAGTGTCTTCATTAGGGCTGTTTTCTCAGTGTCCCCCAGGCACCCACCGGCCTCAGGCTGCTAGTCTCTCCCAAATGGAGGGAAGCAGAAGCCAGAGACAGTGCACACAGGCAGCCCATAAATATTTCCAGCCACAGCCAACATGTCTTACTGGGCAATTTGCTTTTTAAAAAATTGCACTCTAATTTTAAGTGAACAGCCCCTAATTATGGTGATTTACAAGGCACCTGGGGACCGGGTGGTATTTGAACACAACAGAGGCTGATCCAAGATTGATCGGCAGAGCATAATTCAATCTGCACATTCTGATAAGGCCAAGGCTGCTGTCCAAGCAGATCTGCATGGGGAAGTGGGCCCCTGCCATTGCAAAGGGGACAGGGGCACACTGGGGGAAACTGAGACCAGAGAGCTGGCTGAAGGCCCAGGGCAGCGGAGGCAGGTGGACAGGACTGGCGTTTGCTGACACAGGATCTGCCCTTATGCAGGGTGTGGCTGCGGCACTCCCTCCCTCCCCCCCCCCACTCCAACGTGTCACAGGGGCCTCCTCCTCCCAGGACCTGTGACAGTGGAGAGGAATTAGGGGACGAGGGCGGGCTCTGCCCCTGCTTCTCCTGGCCAGCATGAACGCAGTGGTGACAGCTGCCCACAGAGAAGGCAGGGATCTGAGCCTCCAGAACTGGGGAGACAGTGCTCAGGGTCACACTGGGCAACCCAGATCCTCAGGAGGGGACTCTGGAGACTTCTCCCGACCTGCCTTCCCCACTGCCAGCTTCCCCGACAGCTGCCGAGCGTCAGCCCCTCTGACATTTAGGGGAAAACATTCAGAGTCGAGAGCAGAAGGCAGAAATGAAAGGATTTTCTTGGGAAAAGGTCAGAGTGGTTTCTCTTATTTTTGTTTAAAAATGGTTTGTGTTGAACTATGACAAGGCTAAATGTATTAGTGGGCTGCAGGAACAGGCGGAGGCGCGAATGGGAAAACAGGGAAGTGCAGGTGACACACAAGGCAGGTGGCATCTCTGGGAGCCCGCACACCTGGAAGGCCCCCGCACGGGGAGGGCCGCACTGAGGGCAGAGAGGGGCACCAGGCCAGGGGCTGAGGTCTCCAGGGAGCCCCAGCAGGTGACCAGGTTAACGTGGGAGGGCGCTGGCCAGGGGTGCCCTGTGGCCTCCCGCTAGTGTGCACATTGCATCTAGCATGACCAGGGTGCAGCTTCCTCCTCCATCTCCTTAGAGCATTCTCATGGACCCCTGGCCCAGGAGCCCAGCCCGTGGGGCCGGTTTCCTTCCCCTGAAGTGGGCCTAGAGCCTGGCTTCCTTGCTATCCTATGGGTGCAGCAGCCCCTGCTCCACCCCAGGGCCGAGGAACAACCACAGCCCCAAGTCAGGAGGGGCAGGGGCACCCAGCAGGGCACTGGGTAGGGACCACCTTTCCCTGGTCTGCTGGCTGCAAGGCCACCTCCTCCCTCTCAGCTGCCCGTCCGGGTGACAGAGACCCTGCTCTTGGAATCTGGAGAAGACTGAGGGCTGGCTGCGTGCTGTGACTTTCACCTTTGCTGGTGACCTCACCTCCACGCACTGGGGACAGTATGAAGGGGCCCTTCCCTACCTGGACAGCAGCCGTGTCTCCCATCCCGCCAATGCCGCAGGGGCGTATGGAGAGGAAGGGGGTGGAGGCCCAGCAGTCCCTTGCTCACCCCCTCCTGTCTCTCACCTGCAGGCCACAGGACCCTCGGGCTCCAAGATGCAGCTGCTGGAGACCGAGTTCTCCCGCTCGGTGCCTGAGCTTATCGAGCTCCACCTGCTTCGCCAGGACAGCATCCCGGCCTTCCTCAGTGCGCTCACCCTGGAACTCTTCAGCCACCAGACTGCCGCCTAGCTGCCCACCGTAGTCACACACCCGAGTCCTCCAAGGGCCAGGCAGGCAGCAGTGCGGTGTGATTGAGCACAGCCCGGTCCACTCAGGCCTCCTGCAGGTCTGTGCTCTCCTGTGCCCAGCCCTGCACCACACAATCATGGTTGTGGGCGGACAGCACCTGCCCCCCAGGGCCTCGCCCCTCATCCTGCTCTGGAGTCAATCTCCAGGCCACAGCACTGCTCACACACAGTCCCCCTGGGGGCCAGGGGGTTCCCACGTCTTCATGAAATAAAATTTCTTCTCCATTTACCTCCGCCTGCCGTCTGTGTGAATGGGCCCCAAGTGGCCCAGCTCCTTACCATGGTGTCCACAGCCCACCCAGTCCACCATGCTCACTGCCCAGTGTCCAGACACCAGGACCAGTATCCAGGCTGGGAGGCTGTGAGCACAAAGGCCCACTTTCCCTGGGAGCAGAAGTGCCAAGGGAAGGAGAGGAGATGGCAGACAGTGAGGACACAGCCATTGTGGATGGAGAGCGCTGGCCCTGCGGTGGGTCCTGAGGCCTGGTCCCCACTCTGCTCCTGACTGTGTGACTTCAGGCCGGCCGCTTTCCCTCTCTGAGCCACTCCCTCCAGCGCAGGACAGCCTCCCCACAAGGAGGTTCAGCTGTGTCACACAGCAGGTACTCAGATGGCTCTGGAGCTGAAGTAGCCAAGGCACTCCCTGAACTGTGGAGGCACCCACATCCAAGGATGCCTGGGTGTCCCCTCCCTCATCCTCCTGTGCCCTGGTGACTATGCTCTCCAGAAACCTCAAACTGGCCAGGTCCATCCCTGTGGTGGCAGGATGCCTGTGATCTTGGCTCCAAGTCTTCCCTTTGGTCATGGGAACCAGGCAGGTTCCAGGAAGGCCAGGATTCTGGGGCATGGGGACTGGGGCAGGCTGCCTTCAGGGGCCAGCATGCACCCTGACCGAGACTGAAGAAGGGGCCCGCCCTGGCCAGCACATGGGACTGAGGACCCTTGCCGTGGTGCTGCCCCAGCACAGTGGGGCTGGTGGACCACACTGAGGCACACTCACACACTCAGTCTGCTTTGCACAATGCCTGAGCCCCTGCAGTATACTGGGCTCAGTTCCTGGTGCTGGCAGAGGGATAGAACAGTGTTCAGAGTGGCCTTGCACAGCCCTGGACCCACTCCTGAGTGGTCACTCACTCTCCACTCAGAACCCAGTGCCACCCTGGGTGCCAAAATATCCACAGCATGTATAGGCCTGGGCTGAGGGTGATAGAGTCCTCTACCTCTGTCCAGCCTAGGGCTGCTGCGTGGGCCCAGCCAGCAGCACACAGTAGACACAGTGGGCCTGCCTATCGAGGTAAAGTCATCAGAGGCTAGGGCCACCAGCAGTAATGACATGTCCAGGTCAGAGCCTCAGACAAAATCCCCAGCCCAAGGAGCTAGGCTGTGAGACCACGGTGTGTATCTGTGTGTCCATGTGTCTGTGTGTATTTTTCAGGGAGCTGACCAGGCAGAGGCCATAAACTGCTGTTCTGAATCCCAAGGCCAGAGCTGACTCTGGCCAAGCCAGGCAGGAGCAGAAGTTTCCAGCGGGATCTTAAGGATGCACTCCATAGCTCTGGACCCCAGGGCTGGGCACTCCACCATGCCAGACTCCTGTCCACATGACCAGGGACCCCAGCTCATGCCTACACCCTGTGACTGCACAAGGTGGCTGATGGCTACAGGACTCCACCAGCTGTCCCAAGCCAGTGGCACCTCACAAGTTGAGTCCTCAGCCTGATCTGCCTGGGCCACCTGCCACTTGCTCCCAATGTGTGGGATTGGATGGATGCCCCACTAAAAATCCACAAAGGCCACTGCCTGAGGAACAACCTACACAGATGTCCTACCTAGGACTCCAGGTGCCTAGTGCAAGACCTCGGGTTTTCTGCAGCTTCCTGTCCCCCAGGGTTTGGCCCAGGGATTAGCAGTTGTCTCCCTAGACTGACAACCGTGGAGCAGCGTGGGGAGAGTGCACAGGCCTGGGCCCCACCCAGCCATTGCATCCAGGCCTGTAAGAAACTTCTGGTCCCGGCAAATCCTGGCTTCTGCCAGCTCCTTAGTGTGTGCCCAAAGCTAAATGGTTCTTAAGCCGCTAATGACTAATTTTAAGGGATTAGTGCCGCAGCGATAAACTGCAATTGCCCAGGATGTAACAGGATTTGCTGAGCCCAGAGCTCCTCCACTTCCCCCGGGCTGGGAGGACAGCGCCGCCTGCTGGGGCCTCCTGGGGACCCCAGCCACCCACTCAGTACACCCGCCCACCTCCACCCTGTGCCCAGCTTGGGGGCCCAGGCCAGACATGAATGGAGTTTGTTGTGGCTTCTTTCCTTTCTGCGGGGCCTAGCACAAGACCTCAGAAAGCCAACAAATTTCTGGTTTCTCTGCAGCTCCCTGTCCCACAGTGTATGGCCTGGGGACCAGCAGGTGCCACCCTGGACTGGCAGATTGATGGCGTCATCAGAATCTGCTCAAGGAGACCCCAGTGATGTAGATGCCCTGTCACAGGTGCAAAGCCCTGGACTGACAGAACCTTCTCAGATCACAAAGCCTTTCCTATGACAAGCTTATCTCCAAATAGGGTACCCTGGGGCTCAAGGCCAGGTTAGAAAGCGGGACCCTGTGCCTGGTCACAGCAGGTCCCTATGGACCCTAGACTGATACCCAGCTCTCCTAGCTGCAAATGCAGCCCAGCCAGGCCCAGCTTCTGAGTTGTGCTGGCCCATTTCTTTCCTGCTTACAGTCATGGGCATCAAGGAGAGGCTGCATTTTTATCCCAAGGCAACTTGGGAACGGTGACTTGGAAGAGCCGGGAATCGAGGAGCATACACACAAGAGCTGGTGTGCGCACACTGCCAGGCTTGTCTGCACATAACTGTGTACACGTACAAACACACAAGATTGTGTGCACATGGTGCCTGCAGGGATGCATTGTGTGCACTTTGTGACCTGTGTTTGTGTATGTGTGTGTGTCCTGTATGTCTGTTGTGACTGAGTGTGAGTGTACATGCATGTGTGACTTCCATGTGCACGAACAATTGTATGCATGCCTGTGCATACACACGTGAACATCTGTGGGTGATCATATCTTCACAAGGGTACACATGCGTGCCTGTACCATGAGGACACACTGCTTACACTTCTGCTTCAGGCCCAGAGAGGGGGAGAGCCTCACCCAATGTCACCGAGCAAGAGTCCCTGCCTATCTGCTGTATTTCATATTTCCTTTACTTTTCATTGCACAATTCTAATGCACTTTTAATGCATTCTTTGCCATTAAAACACAACAAATAAACCTCCAACAACACAGGAGAAAGGTAGAGTTAAAACAAAACCCTTCCTTTGGCTCCTTCCCAGCCTCTGCTGCTACTGGGTGGGCTTGCACACCTAACGTGCGGATGTATGAAAATGCCTGGGTTGGTTTCATTTGATTGTGTGTGCAGTTTTTAAAATAACTGTGTTTTGTTTAGCAGTTCGGTTTTGTCACTTAACAATATGTCTTGGAAATCTGCCATGGAATGGTCCACCAATCTGTTCCACTGGCTTCTGTTGTCTTCTGGGGACAGCGACTCCCAGAGATGCCAGATTCCTGTTCTACATGGAAACCGGCCGTGTTCTCCAGAGCACCCGAGTATTTAAGCATCCACTATTTTACAAAGCAAACAAATAAAAAAACTAAGTGACGTTGCAAGACCAAATCAGCAAATGTCCTCCTAGGAGTCTGCTCGGGGCTCAGTGCCCTGTCCTGGACGGCACACTGCCTTTTGAGGAGGCTTTTTGTTTTGTTTTGTTTTGTTTCGAGACTGAGGATTGCACTGAGATATACCCCCAGATTATCGATGTATGTATGTATTTAGAGGTCTAAGTTTCCCACGAGGCACTTGAACTTGTAATCCTGCCTCAGCCTCCTAGAGTGCCAGTATTACAGGCATGCACCACCACACCCAGAGCCCCAGCTGAAGCATCCCTGTCCTCCGTGGTGGGCTCAACGTAACCCCCAGACTCATGTGCTCAAGCCCTGGCCTTCAGGGCTTCAGAATGTGAGTGTATTTCAATCAGAGCATTTAAAGAGGCAATTAAAATAAAAAGACATCATTGGTCCTTCAGACCAGGGTGTTACAAGGAGAGCAGGACACAGACACGAGGAAGGCCAGGCCGGTGAAGACAGAAAGGGGGCGTCCCCACACCAAGGAGTAAGGCCTCAGGAGGGTCTGACCCTGCTGCACCCGGACCTCGGGCTCCAGCTTCTGGGGTCTGGGGGGAGATTCCTGCTGTCTGCACCTCCCCACCAGTGTCATCTTCATTGCAAGGTTTTGTTAGGGTGACAGAGCAGCCGGTGCCTTCACACACAGGGTCTTTCCTCCCGTTCCAGTCAGCCTTACCCTTCTGTGTGACATTTATTTCTGCCTGACATTTGGTATAATGCATAATTTATTTATAATATACATATATTGTGTATATACCATAGTATATATAGTAAGGTGTTTTCACCCATTTAGGGAAAGAAGGCCCCATCTGGTAAAAATAGCAAGCAAACCACATTGTAACTTGAAAACTTTTAGTAGCCACATTGAAAGAAATCTGAAATTAATTTTAATAAGTACATTTTATGTAGCCCAATATATCCAAGATTTTCTCATTTCAACATATGATCAAGATAAAAAAAAAATTAAGCCATCTCATGGCTCCTTCTTGTGAGGGACCCTGGAAATCCTGAGTGTCTTTCCACGGCCACCACCTCGGGTTGGGCTGGCCACATTATAGTGCTCCATGGCTCCGCAGCAACCACCCTGGCGCACACGGGCCTGGCCTCTTCTGTGGTTCTGGCTACAGCAGTCCTGGTTCAGCCCAGCTACGCAAACCTGCACGGGCAGATCCACGCCGTGCACCAGAGTGCTTGATGGCCTCTGTCTTTACCTAAAGAGGAAACAGCTCAAGGAGAAGGGTAGCCCTGCAGGGGACCCCTGTAACGTCACCTCCATGGCATGACACAGCCAAGTCTGGCTCCCTCATGGGTGGGGGGGCTGAGGGAAGCAGTGAGTGACAGCTACAGGGGACAGGTGTGCATCCCAGCGGAGCCAGGGTCCCTGTTGAGCACAGCACCTCGATCTGGACGCAGCCCCGACCTGCCAGGTGGTTGCTGTCTCACTTCTGGGCCTCAGTCTCCACACCCAGAGAGTGGCCTGTAGAGGGACCTGCTGGTGGCTTCCAGCGCACCCCAGGCAGCGTGTAAACTCCCTACAGAGCCCC